TTTCATATGTGCTTATATGGGCTCCTTATATCATTTGGTTCTTTGGTGTCCTTTTGGAGTTTCTAAGTGTCCTTTTTTGGAAAGACATCTAAATTTATCTTGAAAAAATCTTGCAGAAAATACAGATTTTTGAGAATCACTCTTCAATCTTTTGGTTTACTTTGCTGGACATAGCAAATGATGACAAAATAAACATTTGAAACAAGATAAATGGCCTATGCTTAATTTCATGAAGTGTGCGATTAATCGCGATTAATCGCAGAAAAGGGGTGTGATTAATTAGATTAAAAATTGTAATCGATTGACAGTCCTAGTTATAATGTATTAATATTAAAATGCCATAAATAAATGTTGTTATATATTATTTTTGCTGTGAATTCACAAGTAGCACAGAGACCGGTGAAATGTCACTGGTATTGGTATCAGCTACTGAAAGTGGTTCATTAAAACCATACAGTGTAGAATGAAGTGTTTTGTTTGACCACACACACACACACACACAAACACACAGAAAGATTCATAGACTGCTCTAATTCACTAACCCCAACCAAAGCTAGGACCACCTTTCCCCTCTTCACCACCTCATCACTTTGGTAACTATGACAACCACATCACCTTCACCAATACATGTCTCTGTTTCTGCTCAGCATTCTTCTCATACTAATGTCACAGCATGTCCTCTTCTGTAAGAACATTCCAATAGTAGGTTATAGGGGATCTCTGGAAAAAGCATTGAGCTGCAATTTAACACCACTATATTGCTCACCCAAACCCACTGTCTTTCCACTGTGAACTGTTCCTGAGAACCAAAACCAATTATAGCTTTTACAAATCAGATCCTTCAATTTCATGGTTTACTTAACAATCGGAAACACCCCTGAGCAGAACAGATGAATATTCACGATAAACATACTAACAATCAAATAAACTGTCCTTTAACACAGATGTAAGCAATAATATCATATTTTACTAGTGCAAAATCTTAGATTTAATTTGATAAAGAATTTTTATTTGTTCTTTTCATTGAGTCTCTTTATAGTTTAACCCCAAATTAAAATTCTGGCATCATTTACTCACCGTTATGTCGTTCCAAATTAATATAATATAATATAATTAGGGCTGGGCAAGTTAACGCGTTATTGTCAACAATTATTTTATTGCGCGTTAACACAGTTTTTTTATTATTATTAAAGTCCATTGCTCTCTGGCTCTGAATACACACAGATAAACCATGGGTCACAGGAGGGGTGGGATGTTGATCAGTACTGGCTTCGGCCCCTTTCACAATATATTGCGAACTGATCTATATATAACTGAACTGCGCTCTGGCCCGCCTCTTCCAACCAAGCGTGGCACGGAGTGATCACACTAGTCAAACGAACCTGGCTTTGGGGGTCAGACGCACTCGGGCATGGTTAAGATTGCCTAGTGTGAGTACACCCTCATTCTCCCACATCCCGCACACACGAATCTCTACCCACCCGCACTCGCCCATCAAGTGTTGTCTTGCGCAACACTCTGTTGCGTTGGGTCCCGCGATAGTGCAGGTCTCTACTCGGAAGGAGCCTGTTATAATGTTATGACCGTCTGGACTCTGAGCATAACTTGTTTTTCTATAACAAACTATAAAATATCATTATTCATGCGAAAATCATGCGATTAATCGCAATTAAAAATTTTAATCGTTGCCCAGCACTATATAATATAATATAATATAATATAATATAATATAATAGCATTTTTGGGTGAATGTGTTTTAACTCTTCTCTATAATAGTGTAATTCTAGTCCTCTGGGCCAGTGTTCAAAGAGTGCTGATACAGTATGCATATCTGTGTGTATTTGACTTCCCTCACTGTGCAAACTGAATTGCATATTTTTTATTTCTTTTCTGACCCAAGTAATATATTCCAGGATCGTCTGGTAGGCGGTGAAATGCTGCATTTGTCTGATGATAGATGGCATGCCTTTATGTACATGTCACTGCATTTGATTACAATGTGTAAATAAATTAATACAAAAATGCTTGAGAGGCAAAATGTTTATGTTTTGCTCCCACGTGCCAGCATATTGTGTGTGTGTGTGTGTGTGTGTGTGTGTACCTGTTTTTCTATTCTGGTGGGGACTTAAAAGGTCTGCTGCATTCTAGGTTTCTAAGCCATATGGGTTTGAAATGACATGGGGGTAATTATTGCTTTTATAACAAAATCAGCAAACCTATACATTTAAGAGGAATAGTTATGTTTCTGAGAATCATACAGTTACATTTGCTACTTAACCTGCATTCCTATATAAAAGAAAAAATCTAGATTTACAGTTCATGCCATCTCTGAGTGTATTTTTCAATTGGTCTGGTTGGTAAAAATGTATAAAGTCCATATGTGGCATGCATCAAAGGAACTCACTCAGTCATGATATTTTTCATTTTATCCTTGAAAATTCTTATTGGTAGAAGAGCCCAGGCTAACAGTACAGATTTTACACTCTTTAGTTCTTCAAAGCTTTACTACAAACAGTGACAAATTTGCCGATATAATTGGACACCGTAGCTGCACTTGTACAAATGTGTGCCTTAGTATGCTCAGAATCTTTAAATCAAGGATTAATTTTTTGGCCAAGCTGAAAGATTTAGATATAGCAGAGACTCACCTGTATATGATGCAGGCACTGTTACGACACGTGTCACAGTTGGCTGTATCCTGCCCAGTTCGATAAGACAGTCTGTGGAAAAACAGTGTGTGATAAATGTAGCATCCATAAACAATAGAATTCATAACTTAAAGGGATAGTTCAAATAAAAGTAAAAATTATATCATCATCATCATTTACGTGTGCTTATTTTGTTCAAAACCTGTATGACTGTGGGGGAAAAAAGAAGATATTTTGAAGAATGAGGTTCAAACAACATTGGACCCTACTGACTTTTATTTTATGGACAAAAACACAGACATTTTTCAAAATATCTTCTATTGTTTTCCACAGAAGAAAAAAATCATACAGGTTTAGAACAACATGAGTTTTTTTTATTTTTTCCAATAACCTTTTAGCAAGGATGCATTAAATTGATCAAGTGACAGTAAAGACTTTTAATTGTTACAGAAATATTTACATTGCAAAAAAAATGCTGTTCCTTTCTATTAATCAAAGATTACTGAAAAAAACTGAATTACCATTTCCACAAAAATATTAATCAATACAACAGTTTTCGATGTTGATAATAATAAGAAATGTTTCTTAAGCACCAAATCAGCATATTACAATCATGTGACATAGTGCTGGACGGTATATCGGTTCATACCGAATACCGGTTTTTATTTTTGTATTAATTTTGAAAATACCACAATACCGGTATGTGTCACTTAAACAACATTCGGAACGCGACACTGTTTCAAAGGGGTGTTGCACTGTGGTGAGGGAACAGCTGTGTGTGTTACTAAGCGTGAAAGTTCCGAAACTGAAGCTGTAGAACTAATAGAACGTGATGACACAGAAGAACTCATCCACAATATCCACATTGACCGCCACAAATATCCACCGCCCCCAAATACCGTGATATAAATTTTTGGTCATACCGCCCAGCACTAATGGGACACTGAAGACTGAAGTAATGATGCTGAAAATTCAGCTTTGCCATTACAGGAATAATTACATTTTAAAATATATTAAAATAGAAAACAGTTATTTTAAATTGTACAAATATTTCACAATTCAACAGTTTTTATTGTTTTGTTTTTTTATTATTAAAAAAATGCAGCTATGGTAAGCATACGATATATCATTATATTTAATTCAGTAAAATGTTTTCATTGATTTACAGCCTTGATTATTTCTTCTGCATTGGTGTATTTTATTAACACAGGGCCTCTTGCAGATTATTGCTTTATTCTGACCTGTTCCCAGGATTCCTTTACATTATTTAATGATGGAAGACACCAGGATTGAATTCCTTGTATCTATCCGCTGTTCATTTGTGGCCCTTGGGCTTCAGCAGCATTAATGTATGTACAAGGGGATGATGGATCATGCACTAGCTGGCATACTTGAAGTGGATATATTATTTGTGTGCTAGTGTGACACTGTGACACATGCCTAGCATTTCTCCAAAGACAATAACAGGTCTGCACCCAGCAGCCATGCAGTTATGCATTTTCATTAAAGCTTAATGAAAGCCTAATTGGATCACTTTATCCCTCTGAGCACTCAAGTGTCAGGATGGTCATTGATATTCTGCATTCAGTTGGATCTGACGTTGCTGAGGAGTTCACGCGACAGTGGTTACACATGTAATGTCCAAACGTAGAAGAGCGATGTTTTGCAATGCAGTCGGCGAGAACAACACCTGAACTGAGCTTTTACTTTACTTGTTTATAGACTAAAATAAATGATATTTTTAGCATAATGATATTTTTCCCTGTCTGCTCAGAATAAGTGCACTACGTCATGGTAGGAGAGAGCTGTACTTAAAAGGAAGAAAATCAGTTTTTCAGTTTGATCTGGAATACATGGGAATGAGATGAGATTGAACCCTTCGTCATGGCAGAAGCACTGGAGAGGAATTATCCTAAAGGTCAGGAAGGGCAAGGAATTATTGGTAGTCAGGGTGACCCAAAGAATAGCCAATGTGACGATGAGGTCTGTTGGAGGTGTGTGCCGGTTGCTGTGTGTTTAGGCATTTACTCATGCTCATTTCACTTCAAACCTGAATGATTTTTTTTTCTCTGTGGAACACAAAAAAAATATATATATATATTTTATAAAAAGTCAGTGGGGTCCACTGTAGGGGTGTGCGATATGTATTGTCTACGATAATACCTCAATTGTTGTTAACAATGTGTGAGCTGACAATATGTCACTCACATTGTGAAAAGCTGAGTTTCAGTACTGAATGAATCAGAATTTTTTAACAATAATAATTTGTTAAATTTTTTAACAATTAATTTTTTCGTTTGAGTGAAATATTTAATAATCTAGTCATAAAGCTTTGTTTCTGAATGAATCAGCCATTTTGAATGAACAGTTTGAATGAATGATTCAATGACTTAAAGGGGTCATATGATGCTGCTAAAAAGAACAGTATTTGGTGTATTTGGTGTAATGAAATGTGTTTATGCGGTTTAAAGTTAAAAAAACACATTATTTTCCACATACTGTACATTATTGTTTGTTCTCTATGCCCCGCCTAGGAAAAATTGAAATCGCATCATATGACCCCTTTAAGACAGTGACTTGCCTCTACTTATTTGTGGCTTTCGATTTATATTTAAATATATGTTTATGAATATATATAATTATACACACTTAAATATAAAATATAAAATAAAAACTGCATTTAAAGCACTTTAAAAGCAAGTAAGAGTTTGACATAAAACTCGACACATATAGACCTACATATAATAAGGTCAAAATTACCACTGGAAATCAATTTAGAGGGGCAAATATCAACCCTTAATGAAAAAGCTTGTTTCTGTCATTGCTGTGAACTAACCACTGCACATAATTTGAAGAATACAAAAAGCTTTCATTATCAGATGCCCACAACAGCCCTAAACCAGCACAAAAACAAAATATTGTCTAATTATCGTTAACGACAAAATCTCATTTTTATTCATATCGCACAGACCTAGTCCAATGTCGTTTTGGTCCCAACTGACATTCACTGTATGTACAAAAACAGTTGAAATATTCTTCAAAATATCTTCTTTTCTGTTATGCAAAAGAAAGTAAGTCAACCAGCTCTGGAACAACATGAGGGTAAGTAAACGATAACAGACTTTTCATTTTTGTGTAAACTATCCCTTAAAACTAATATCACCAGCTGGTAGTTGGTTTGTTGCTTATCTAAGATGGTCTACCAGCTTACACCGATTAATAACCAGCTTAGACCAGCTAGAAACCATGTTCCAAAACAGCTATGGAATAATTTAGAGTTACTAGGTCCCTTTCTCCTCTGCTAAAGTGTGAATGTGTGGAGCATACAGTAATATTATGTATATATTTCAGTTCTTTTAAAATAAGTATTGATCAGACTGTGTGTGCGTGTCACTGAATCACACAAGTGCTTTGTGTTTTTTCCCTGCGAGCTGGCTCTCCGTTATTGCAGACATCAGCTCTGTTGAAAGACACGCTCTGCCCTCTCTCGCTGGAGGTATGCCCTGAGTGTGCAAGGAGGAGACACACTGCTACGTTCCTGGAATAACCTGTGAAAATCTGACACTGGCAGCAGAAGCACGTCTACACACTGTGTAATAGAGTGCTAATGTTTCTTTCTAACATGAATACACAATGGCTCAGTATGCCATTGAAATTCGGCGAATGCTGTTAGGACATACTTATGTTTGCACTAGCTAATGAAAATGATACGTGACAATGTCAGTAAGAGCGGCATCTGATGATACTCAGATTGAAGTCCTTTGACTTCAGACACAAAAATCCACTGGAAGCTGCTCATGGATAATTCATTTGTTGATCATCAAAGACAGAATATACAGAGAAGAACTAGATTTTTATATTATCTAAAAGAAATGTGAGTGAAGGTTGCTTAGGATTGGAAACCGGTTGATGTTTGACACCCGGTAACAGAGAGACGAAACACCATACTAAAATACTTGGACAGTTTCCAGCAATATTTATTCAACAGTGCTGCAACACAGATATCATGACACACAGCAGAACCAGTTTTGTTTGTTTTGAGAACAATGACTTTTTATGAGTTGGTTCCTTTTTAGTGAATCAGAAACATATGGTGCAACCAGTGTAGTCCAATTCCTGAACTAATGACTCGTGAGCAAATTCTTTTTAATGAATTAAAAGCAGAAGGCGCTAACACTGTCGGTTTACAGAAAGAGTGACTCTTACGAGCTGGCTTGTTTAGAGAACAAAAACTCCTTTGAATGGATTCCTTTTTGGTGAATCATAAATATACAGTGTAACCAGTATAGTCCATTTACAGAACGAATGACTCTCAAGAGCCAGTTCTTTTAAAAGAATTAAATGAAATTTAATGAATCATATTGCACTAACAATGTAGTCCATTTACAGAATGAGTGACTATTATGAGCCGGTTCTTTTTAGTGAATAAAACATTATACCACAACCAGTGTAGTCCATTTACATAATGAATGAATCTTATGATTTGGTTCTCTTTAGTGAATCAAAAGCACAATATGCAACCAGTGTTGTCCACTTACTGAAAAACCGACTCTAAGTCGGTTCCTTTTAGTAAATCAAACACATTTTTTGTGTACATCTAACAGATAAACCTGATCAGTTAGAGTTACATTTAAATTCATTTATTAATGAAATCATTCCATTATTTAGCACTAAAATTGCATTTCTTTTTCCTAAATATATATTTCTGAAATATATTAAAACATGAATTGAAACCACAACCATTCAATTCTTTACATTTTCATCCAGACACTGACAATCTGTTGCCGTCTGGATAGGCTATGGAAGTCACTGGCACACTAATGAGCCAGACAGACATGATAATGATTAAAAAGCAGTTCAGGCGGCTGGATCTCAATTTGGATACATCACCCAGTGACTGTCCTTGGAAAGTACTGCATTAAAAAAAGCTGCTATCGTCTAATATAATGGTGAAATGAGCCTCGGCGAGTGGAACAAAATGTGTTAAAGTACTTGTGGAGAAAATGTATATTGTTGCTAATTTGAAGCCTCAGCAAAGATAAAGTTATTCCTCCTCGACAATTATCTTGCAG